GGCGTATCCTGAAAAATTAATTGGCTAGAATGTTTCAAAAAGGTTAATGGCATAGAATAAAAGGGAAAGGGAATTTTCTGGAAAAAATTTTAAGATACATACAAACTGGATTTTTTTTTGCCATGAAAGACTTTATTGCCATCTGGATGCAGTCTGAAAGTGGAATTAGCAGTAGCAAATCAATGTTTTTCTGTTATGGTTATAAGAGTTTTCTAAGGGTGAAAAAGATAGAAGAGGGTTTACAGGGCTTGCGTTCCATGCTGCTGACCCTGCTTCAATCCCGAGCACCACACAGTCCATTGCACAGGGCTGAATGCTGCCATGGAGGCCTCCAGCACCAACTGGGTGGCACAGGCAATCCCCAAAACACAGGGCTCAAGCAGCACTATATCCTCAGGCCCTAACCAAGCTGGTTTGCTAAGAATTGTCAGGAGAGGCTCTCTGGCCTTCTGCACACCACTTTGGAGGTCCATGCTTTCACAACCCCCTCAAAAACTTTTGAATTTTTCTGACTTCAGTAAAATATATGTTGGAATAATAGTGTGAATATAATAAAATGTGAACACTCGAGAAATCAAGTGAAGGGCAACTAGGAGTGGCAGTTGCACTTATCTTTAAATTTCCAATAAATTTCCAATAAATAACAAAATAAAATAATTGAAGAAAAAATAATTGAAAAGAATATTCAAGTGATTAAAGATTGATGAAAAATCTTTAGGACAATAAAAGTCACATTCGACATAGCAAATCATTTCAATTAACAGCAATAGTAATCATAGCAGAACAGTGCATCTAGTGCATAATAAGCTTTGAATGGTTGGAAAATGGCATCACTGTTGTCATCATCACTGTCATGCTTCGCTTGAAGTAAGAACTAAAAAAATTGACATCTTTTCTTATTTTTATGTCTTTCTTATTTCTTATTCCCCAATGTCTGCATTAGGTTGCATTGTTCAAAGATTTATTACAGAAACACCTATTTCAAATTATTCTAGTGCTCACCTGCAGTCAAGAGAAGAGAGATAGTGGTCTCTCTTTGATCTAGATCTGGGATGCAGATACGTATAGGATTTGATGTGCATCTAGATATAGGATGCACATTAGCTGAACCATTTTTCATCATCTTAATCTCTGCTTTGCTCCTTCTAGTTCTTAGGCAATTCTAAGCATGCTACCTGGGGATTTTTTTTTCAATGTGCTACCTCTGAGAATTTATATTCTATTTCTTCTTAAAACTCAAATCATCTGCTCACAGGCATTGGGAGGGGTGGGAGGGGGGTATATTGGGGTTCTTGGTAGTGAAAAATGAGTACTGGTGAAGGGAAAGATGTTTGATCATTGTATGACTGAGATTTAAGCCTGAAAGCTTTGTAACTTTTCCCACAGTGATTCAATAAATAAATATAAGAAAAAAAGATAAATAAATAAAATTATGAAAAAAAAGTAAGGTGGAATTCATGCCCAATTCAATCAGCTAATCAGTGGCTGAATAAATAGCAGTACTCCTACATTAAAAAAAAAACCCCTCATTTGTTCAAACCATGCATCTCAGTGATGGACTTTATCACTCTTTACTACACACTGACTTATTCCACAAGTACTATCTCTAATACCTCCAATTTTGACGCATCTAAGATGAAGAATTATTGTTAGGTCTAAGGCTTTCTCTATTGGATGACTATATAGAAGAGGTTACATTGAACTGGCAAAGTTCCACTCATCACTACTTTGTTCAACATGTTCTTTGAAAGTAAAGTCACAATATATTTCTAATATATTATGATTTACAGGAAATATCAATCAACCAGACTATTAAGATAACCAAGATATATTTCTCATACACATTTGGTCTTCAAACACAATTTGTCAAACCACTAAATTTTATTCAGATTTGTGAGTCATATAAGGGTGTCTTTTTCTTTTTCTTTTAATATAAATGAGGTTGAAGGATGCTCCTGCCCCCGCGTCTGGCTGTCCTCACTGGGGTCCCTTGGAGGGGGGCGGGTTGAGTTTCCCTCCCCGCCCCGAGCAGAGCTCTGGCAGCCGAAGACCTCCAGAACCAGCCACAACCATGTTGAGACCACCCTCCACATGCATGAAGGTACCGGCAGAGGAACAAAGGCATATGGTCCCAGGGCTGAGATCTCCAAGCCTGCTCAGATGGGGCTGAGCATCCTCCACCCAGATCCTCTATCTTACAATAGGCAGGGGTCACACCACCAATTGGCTCCCTGGTGCCATGTAATCCCATCAATGGCCAAGACCCAGAGACTATAAAACCCAGCTCCTGGAAGCGCATGCACGGCCGCATTTGCAGCCGCGCTACATCTTATTATCTTATTCTTACTTTGAACAACCTGGCAGGCTACCGAATGTAACCTGCCCACATGGCAGAGTCTAGCAGACTCCCCGTGGAGTACCCAATATGCCAAATACCAGTAACAATGATGGGTCTCATTCTCCTAACCCTGAAAGAGCCTTGAATATGGCACTTTTTAAAATCTCAGGGCTAGGATGAAGGAGATGTTACTGGTGCCTCCTCAAGGCAATCAACGGACAACAGGATGATCGTGATGTGATAAATGAGGTTAAGACTGGGGGGGCTGGTTAGTAAGGAGGGGAATTGATCAAGAAATTAGATAGTGGAAATTGCTAATCCCATCTCCTGGTCTTTAAGGAAGACATGAGTTAGAGATTGAGTTCAATTGCCAATGGCTATCAATTATGCTAAACTAATAAAGTCTTCTTAAAAAGCTGAAAGGAAAAGGTTTTCTTTTAATTCCACCTTGGTGCTCTATTTTTAAAAAAGTTGTTGCATTGAACATAATTTCTATGATACTAGTTGATGTTTTCTCATGCTTTTTATCAAATTGAAGATTATTAATTCTTCCTAAATTTGCATCTTAAATGAATACTGACTTTGATAAAGACTCTTTTTCCATATAATCCAGTTAACATATCTATCATAGATAAATTATGTGAACAGATACTTCACACTACTATGATAAAACTCACTTTGCCTCAATTTAAATAGAGGTAGATTAAATAGAGGTAGGTTTGACACGTAAACTCAAACGCAACAGGATGCAACTTTTTTTTCCTAATATTGTCTCTGTGTTTTTAAATATACTACTTCAATACTTTTATATTGGTACAAAATAAAAATGAGTTTCAAAATGCTCTTCCTGTCTTTGTTTTTTAAATATACATTTCATAAAACCATGTGAAGTGAAACAGAATAAATAAAAATAAAACAACCAACCCACGTTTAGAGAGCTTCTGAGTATTATCTTATAGAGATGTCTGTGGAGATTTGGGGACAGAGGAGCACCTGAAGAGTACATGGATGCTCCTTCCCTTTTCCCCATGTTTTGTTTTGTCTTCCTGTTTGATGCTCATTTTGAAATAAATCTGTGATCTGATGAGAAAATGAATTTATCAAGTTCTGTGATTCACAGTAGCGAATGAATCAAACTTCAAGAAAGCGTTGTGGGAACCTCTGATTTCAAGCAGGTTTTTTAGAATCAAAGGTAACAACAATCTAGACTTGCCACTGGTATCTGAAATAGAGGGTCATCGTACCCTCTAGAATCTGATGGTAGATAAGTGTCAGAAAGGGGTTGAATTGAACTGAATTCCTTCCCTGCTGGCATGAGAAAATTGTTTCTTGACATGGGGAAGTCTCCATACACAATCAGTGCAAATTGTTAGCAGAGACAAATTTTACTTCTTTGTCATTGTTTGTCTCTATCATTCTTCCAAAGCTTTAGACATTTTATCTTTAACTTATTTACTTCCTCTCCTGTTCCTATTCTGATCTGCTTTCCCTTATCTTTAGCCCTGGGAAATACTGTGGCCTTTGATTTTCTTTAACAGAGGCTCCACATTCCAAAAGAGTTACTAATGACACAAGGACTGGTCATTTATATGGGCATTTTAGCTCTACACTAGGGACTTATATACATATGTCTGAGTACCAATAAAACTTTAGTTATAAAAATAGCCAGTTTAGGTGATGGGACAATAGTACAGACAGCAGGGTGCTTTCCTTACATGTGGTTAACCCGGGTCTTATCCCCAGCACCACACAATGGTTCTCTGAAACCTTCCAGGAGTAATCCCTTAGCATAGAGCCAGAAGTAAGCCCTAAGCACTGCAGATTGTGGCCCCAAGTTAAAACAAAACGAAAGAAACAGATGGTCAGGACAGATTTTTCCTGTGGGACAGAGTTATTTAGTTGTTCCAGAACACACAGTTTCACTTTATATCTTTCATTGTCACAAATGCACTTCTGAGAAAATGTGGCCCTTAATCCAACTTTTTCTACTAATTCTTATAGTCAGCTGACTCTCCCAAGTGACTAATGACAGATGAGTAGATAAAGAACTTGTGGTATATATACACATTGTAATAGCACTCAGCTATAAAAAGAGATGGAATCTTTGCCTTTTGTCACAAATGAGATGGAGCAAGAGGTGGGTCGCGTTAAGCAAAATCAGTGGGTCAAAGGGAGCAAGACAAATACCTTGTGCTATCACTCATCTGTGGTATATACAAAAACAAAACCAGCTCACCATGGAATGGAATGCACCTAAGACAATTCTTTTAATTTCGAATACAGAATCAAGTCACCAACATGACATAAAGGGAATTTAGTTTAAAAGGGGGACAGAGACTAGAGATTAGGGTGGTGGAGAAGCAAGACCTTTATTCACCATAAACATGAATGAAAATACTCTCGTACCCATGTTACTTTGACTGCAATTTTAAAAAAATGGCGGGGGAGGGGAGAAGAGAAAAGAAGCAGTTTTGATGGTTTCTCTAACTGACCACCACTTTTCCCCAGCATTCCTTCCGTGTGGAATATTTCCAAGAGAGTAATCAGGTTAATAGGAAGCCACAAGAGGTACACATCTCTCAGCCACCTGGTGCTGCATCTGGATGACACCAGAAAAGATGGTGCATCTTCCTACTGTCAGAAGAGGTTAGTTAGTCTTTACCTCAGCAGGTTGAGGGCACGTCCATCTCTGTTTTTCCATCACAAAGTTCAAAGTATTTGTTCCTCACAGGCCCTGGAGATGCTAATTACTTCTTTTGGCATTTCCAGCTCACCAAGGTTGGGTATGAAAATGGTACCAACTGAAAGGGAAGAAGAGTCAAGGTTAAAATCAGTTTTGACATTTAGCTCATCTGCCACCTTCTGAAGATGACTCAAGATAAAAGGAATTTATTTCTATCTCTATTGCTATTTCTACTGCTCCAATGAGTTACATATTTGCACATAATTTAGTTTTCCTTCTTTCTTTCTTTCTTTCTTTCTTTCTTTCTTTCTCCCTTCCTTCCTTCCTTCCTTCCTTCCTTCCTTCCTTCCTTCCTTCCTCTTTCCCTTCCCTCCCTCCTTCCCTCCCTCCTTCCCTTTCTCCTTTCTTTCTCTCTTTCTTTCTTTCTTTCTTTCTTTCTTTCTTTCTTTCTTTCTTTTTCTTTTTTTTTTTTTGCATCAAATCTGGCTGTGCCCAAGTGCTACACCTTGTTCTATGCTCAGGGAATTATGCAGTACAACGGATCAAACCTGAGCCTCTTGCATGCAAAACATGCACCTGGCACTTTGAGCAATCTCTCTGGCCCACCTATAAAACACTGTAAAGAAAACTCTCTATCAATTAAAAAGTTGCAAAGACAGCATAGTGGAACCAATTCCATTTACTGTTAACATCTTACATTAGTAGGAAACATTTGTCAAAATGAATCAATTTGTATTAACAGAGCATTACTAAGAACTACACTTTTAAAAATAGGTTTAAGGTTTTTGTTCCCTGTCTTGAAAATCAGTTGAGGACAAAACATTTGACTGGGGAGTCATGTTTCCAGGGGATATTTTGGTTGTGGCAGTTTCTTAAGCTTTCTTTGTGTACAATGACCTTGACAATTTTAAGGAGCACTATTCAACTTTTTGGTGAAATGTCTTTCAAATGTGAATTGATCTTGTTTCCCTCTCTCTTCTAGAAACAGACTAAAGTTATGTAAGTTATGTGTTTTAACATAACATCAGTTATTTTTTTTTAATGCTGTTGCTTTTTTTTTGTGGTTTTTTTTTTTGGGGTCACATCCAGCGATGCACAGGGGTTACTCCTGTTTTAGGCACTCAGGTATTACTCAGGCTGTGCTTGGGGGAACATATGGGATGCTGGGAATTGAGCCCGGGTTGGCTGTGTGCAAGGCAAATGCCCTACCTGTTGTGCTATCGCTCCAGTCCCTATTGCTTTTATTTTTGACAAATAATGTAAGATGAAGATTGATTTAACCCATTGTTAAGCTTTGCATTTACATTTTTATTTAGTAGACTGAATTATAAAATTAAATAGGTTTCTGATATATAGCATTATAAATTAGCATTGATATGTCTATGTGCATATATACATATAGGCACTACGTCATGTTCATCATCAAAGTCTATTTTTATCATATACCATACAATAGATCATTTTCACCCCAATTTTCAATAAGCATCCACTCATTTTCTTGCAGAGCCAAGCACCAGAGACAAACAGGTGAATACATCCCACTTCATGCCCTAAAGAAGCCTGGTGGAGAAAAGAGAAATAAACAAACCATTCAAAGTAATGCAATGAAGCATGAGAAAATGAACTATTGAGAGAACTGAGGAAGGAATGACAGCTTGGTCTTAAAGAATAACTCAAAGATTTAATGATATTTTTAATGGTTTCTCAATCAAAGTCATGTGAAAGAAGAGGCTGTGTAAGGAGACTATCAGAAGAAATAAAAAGACCAACTCATATTTCTGATGAAAATGACAGGAGCCCTGAAACTCCAACCCTGTGAGCCTCATGGTTATGGGCTTCCTAATAAAAAGAAGAATTTTAGAAAACCAGTCCCAGCCACTGCTGAGCATGTTCTGTGAATCCACTATCCCTATCCACTTTCACTTTTCTCCTCATTAAAGTCTTTGCCCCCGCGCCTGGGTGTCCCTCGCCGGGACCCCTTGGAGGGGAGCAGGTCGAGCTTTCCTCCCCGCCCCGACCAGGGCTCCGGCAGCCGAAGACCTCCAGGACCAGCCACCACCATGCTGAGACCACTCTCCGCACACATGAAGGTACTGGCAGAGGGACAAAGCCACGCGGGTTCTGGGGCCGAGACCTCCAAGCCTACTCGAATTGGAGTCGAGCATCTTCCACCCAGATCCTCCAAATTCCAGTAGGCGGGGGTCACACCCACCACCTGGCCCCCTGGCGCCGTGTAATCCCATCAGCAGCCAAGACTCAGAGACTATAAAATCCAGATCCCGGAACCGCACGGCCGCATTCGCGGCCGCGCGACATCTTATCAAAACTTTTCTTTATGACATCTTATTGTCTCATTCCTACTTTGGACAAACTTGCAGGCTATCGAATATAGCCTGCCCACAGGGCAGAGTCTGGCAAACTCCCCGTGGCCTACCAAATATGCCAAATACCAGTAACAATGATGGGTCTCATTCTCCTAAAGAGCCGTGAATATAATCTCAGGGCTAGGATGAAAGAGACGTTACTGGGGCCTGCTCGAGGCAGTCGACGATTAACAGGATGATGAAATGAAAAAAAAATGAAATGAAAGTCCAAATATCCATTTACTTACATATCCCCTGAGAGATAATTAAATGTCAATAATATATGTGTTCTAATCACAGGCATGTGATCCTTATGTGCATGTGAAATTTTAGCACCACCTCACTCATATTACTTTAAACCTAATAACTTCTGGTACTTCTCACCTTAAATCACTCCTTTTAAAACCCTTACCCAGGTCAGAGAGGCCCAGATTCCATCTCTGGCACACATACGGCCCTTGCGCATTGCCAGAAGTGATCCCTGAGCATAAAGTCAGGCGTCAACCCTGAGTACCATCAGCTGTGGCCATAACCTCCCAAAATACAGCCCCAAAATAGATAAAAATAAAAAAGTACTCCAAATCCAGTGGGAGACTCTCCCTTGAGAGCACCTGTACTCGTATCTGAGGGACGAGTTATCTCTTTAGTAACTCTGCTATTATCTATACCAACGTTCTTCAACCTTTCTTTCCCTATGGGCCAGCACCTGCCCTGTATAAGGGTCCATGGACTGACAGTTCATGGCAAGGTAGTGGACAATGGTTTTCAACATTTCTATACCTGCTAACTGGTGGTCAAATAACACTTATCTACACGGTCTTGTTCTTGATTTCTCTCTCAAAGACAAAGAACTGAGATCAAGGATGGTGGGGGGGGATCCCTGTAGCCCATTTCCCAGCTAACACAGCAAGAGGCAGGTAAAGGTAAAGGTAAAGGCCCTCCCGTTGTTCATCGATTTGCTCGAGCGGGCCCAGTAACTTCTCCATTGGAGATTTTGTTGTTACTGTGTTTGGCTTATCGAATACATCACAGGTAGCTTGCCAGGCTCTGCCGTGCGGGCTCAATACTCTCGGTAGCTTGCCGGGCTCTCTGAGAGGGGCGGAGGAATCGAACTCCGGTCGGCCATGTTGGCTGCGTGCAAGGCAAACACCCTACCGCTGTGCTATTGCTCCAGCAAGAGGCAGTTTGGCAAAAAGAAAAGGCTTGGAGAAGGCATGTCTAGGATGAGAGTGAAGTAAGAAATGAAAGTGACAGTTGAAAATGATCACTCTGGATAAGAACTGAGGGCTAAAAGTAGGTAAAGGGATATGCATGATAACCTTGCAGTACTTGTACTACAAACCACAATGCCTAAGATGAAAGAGAGAAAGAGCAAGAGAGAAAGAGAAGAAAAGTCATCTGCCGTAGAAGCCAACTTAGGTGGGGGCTGGTGGGAGGAAAACTGGGGACACTCGCTGTAGGAACTGCTGAAGGAACAGGTGTTGGAACATTGTATGCTTGAAACCCAATCATGAACAACTTTTGCAACTATGTATCTCACAGTGATTTAATTAAAATATTTTTTTAAGGGAAAGAAAGAAATAAAAGTGGGAGTGGGAGTTTGTGATCAGGATCGATAAGACTGAGCCAATCAGGAATGGCCAGACACAAAGACCTCACTTGAAAAGAATCCCACAAACTCCCACAAGCTTCTACCGTGTTCTAAGAATCCAAGAGGTGCAACCTGTGCCATTTCTTACTGAATTGTCATGGGAACCATCACAGATTATTCCTTAAGAATGTGCAGCTGAGGCATGGAGAGCTTCTGTGAGTAAACTTGTCTGGAAGACCAAGGCAGCTCTGTGGCACAGTGGACCATAGTAGTGCCTGCCTCCATAATCTTCCTCTGAGCAGAGGAATAGATGATTGTAGTCAAGTCCCCTGAGTTGCTCATGCTGCTCGTACACACCATTTTGCAGTGTGGTTTTGCTTTGTCTCCTAATGGAAGTCTTATTTCTCCCCACTTTACACCAGAACTTAGCTATGTGACTTGCTTTAATCAATGAGTCAATCACAAACCAAAAATAAAGACTTGACAGCATGAAACCCACACAAAATGGCTCACTCAGTCTTATCCTTTGTTGTTGGTACTCATTCTGTCGTAGTGTTAACAAGCCTGAGCTAGGCACCTACAAAGAAGTAGCATGGAAAGAGACCCAAAGCCCTAAAAACTTCCAGAGGAGCACCAAGTAGAGTGGAGCACTTGAGTTGATGCCAGACACAATAAATAAATAAATAAAATAAAAGCTTAACTAACCTATAGAATTAGAAAGAATGCAAACACTTGTTGAAGAAACTAAGATTTAGAGCTGTGTTATGAAAAGAGAACTAACTGATACCATCACTGAGTTATCTTACACATATGGTAACATAAAAGTCCCAAGTATATCAAAATAAGAAGTCAGGCTCTGTTGATGACTGTCAGGCTGGAGACCTGAAGTTAGGCAGAGCTGTGGGCAAAAAGGGAGTTCCATCTACAACAGCTTCAGGAACTATTTTAGATGGAACATCAGCAGGATTTAGTGACAGACTGACCCTCGGTTGATTTACAGGCGGCTGGTGTGAACTATAAATAGATTCTATTTAGAGCTGCTGATGGGGGCAGGATGTTTACCAGGAAAATACACAAAGTGGTAAGTGCCAGGTCAGTTAGTGCTCAGAAGTTCAGGGGAAGGGAAAGTCAGGGAATAACACACTTTCTTTGCAGAACCTAGTGTTTGAAAGACTTAGGATGAGGTGCTCACTGCCCCTGCCAGAACCAGGCTTCCACCGTGCCTCCTTCAGCGCTCTCTCCTCAGCTCTTCAGGCAGCCTGAGGGAGCCTTGTTAACTTAGCTCGGACCTTCCTCCCTCCTCACTGACTCCTACCACTCTCGCTCACTTCCCACCAGCTGTGGTACTTCCCAGGGAAGCTGGCTGTTCAGAAAAGACTGCATAGTGTCACATTGTATTCCAACATTCTCCCTGATGCTCTGGAGCACTTGTCACTAGCCTGATAACTCCAAACAGGAAAGAGTGTGCCTGTTTTCCACATTGCTAGATCTTCACCCCCAGAACATGGATGACTGCATAGGAGGAAACCAGCTGCTAATTCCTGAATGGGAGCAGGGACAACGGGACTCATGTATCCCACTTCCTGGATATCTTCTTGGACGCTCCCTTCCACACTCCAAACTGGGTAAGGGACCTAACTTTGGAGCACCTGTGGCTTCCTGCATTTATCTGCATTCACTTGATTTATTCCCCATTATTCTTCTTATAGCACAGCGGGTAGGGCATTTGTCTTGCACCAAAAAAAAAAAAGTAAGGTGGAGTTCATGCCCAATTCAGTCAGCTAATCAGTGGCTGAATAAATAGCAGTATTCCCACATAAAAAAAAAAAGAGAGAGAAAATTCAGCTGAACTTTGTGCCTCTTTGAGCTTTAGCTCTGTCTCCATAGAATGGCAGTCTGACCACCTAAGGTGTTTTATTTTTTTTTTGAATCACCATGAGACTATCACTATCAGGATCATCATCCTGTTGTTCGTCAATTGCCTCAAGCAGGCAGCAATAATGTCTCCTTCTTCCTAGCCCTGAGATTTTAAAATAGCCATATTCAATGCTCTTTCAGGGTTAGGAGAATGAGACTCATCATTGTTACTGGTATTTGGCATATTGAGTACAGCACGGGAAGTCTGCCAGACGCTGCCGTGCAGGCAGGATACTTTCGGTAGTATCCTGAGACACCATGAGACACAGTTAGAAAATTTCATGTTTGAGATTCAGCCATACAATGATCAAACATCTATCCTTCAACCAGTGCAAATTTTCCACCACCAATGTCCCCATTATCCTCCACACCCCATCCTGGTCCTCACCCTGCCTCTATGGCAGACAACTTTCCCGATACTCTCTACTTTCAGACATATTTTGCTTGAATTTTCCCACCATCATCTCAAGTCTGTCTAGCTGGGGCAGATGATAGTTTTTCTATTTTCCATTGCTCATTTTGCATATCATGAGAGGTCTGTAGGAAGCTAACCCATTTTGGAATTCAAATTGGAAGTTTCTGGACCCGGGTTGTTGGTGCGAGAAAATGGCGCTTGGAGCTGAGTTGTGGGTGTGGCATTCAGTTTCAAGAGCGGACAGGAAGACAAAGAGACCCTACCCAGCCCCGCTGCAGCCATGCAGCCTGGAAACTTAGTTTTCAAGCCCACATTCATGTACCTTGCTTTTGCAAGTTCTTGGTTACTGGGATTCCATCAGGAGTAGGCGGGGAGAGTATACCTGCTCCACCTGGGGTGGCCCGGTGAAATCATCAGGGTATGAGGCCTGGAGAAATCTCCGCTGCTGTGGTGCCTTCCGGGACTCGCTGCTGCCGTGTCTGTGGGCCCGGGCTGTTGGTGAGCCACTACGTGGGTCCAGAGGCGGGCTGTGGGCGTGACCTCCGGCCTCAAGATAGGATGGGAAACCAGGAATGGAGTGCCCAGCTCCGCTGCCACAATGTGGCCTGGAGACTTAGCACCGGAGCCCGCATAACTGCGCATTGCATGTGCAAGCTCTTGGTCGCTGGGCTGAAATATTTTAATTAAAGCCCAACATTTACTTTGGAGCAAAGTATAATCCTAAACCAACTATTTTGCTAATCTTCAACTAGCTCTGAAAAAATACAGATGGACATAACATTGGGTTCCAAACTTCAACTGGACAGCTGGCAACTGCAGGCTTTCCACTTTACTTATTTATTTACATTTTACTTTACTGAGATAATACGGTTTACAACAGTGTTCATGTTTATGCTTTTGGTGTATAAATTTACTGCACCACTATCACCAAAGTGCTGGAACTCTCCACCTTTCTCTTTGGATCCCTTCTAGTTTGACCCTTCTTGCTACACTCTAACTCCCACTTGATAAACAGGTCTGTTGTCAGAGTTCAAGGGTTTGTTTTTATTGGATGGTGTTCATTCCCTTGTTTGTTCCTTTATCTACCATATGTGAGGGAGCCTGGCAAGCTACCAAGAGTATTCAATATGCCAGACACAGAAACAACAAAGTCTCCAATGGAGACGTCACTGGGCCCGCTCGAGCAAATCGATGATCAACGGGAGGGCCTTTACTTTACTTTACTTTATGTGAGGGAGATCATATAGCATTTGACCGTCTTCTGAATTAAATCACTTAAAAGGACACCACATGAGTTCAATATCCTTCAACCACTGGTTAATAGACTGCTGCTGAGATGCAGGTGTAAAAAAGTTGAAAACCACTGGTTTACCATCTTGAATATAACTGATTGTCCATGGAGCAAAATGCTGGAAGGTGCTCATCCATAGGTATAAAAAGGTTGAAGAGCACTGCTTTAGTTCTTGTCGAGTTGTAACAGAAGGCAAGATTTCACCTTTTCTTATAGTTGAGTAGTATTACGTTATGTGTGTATACCACGATTTCTTTATCCACTCATCTGTCATTGGCCATATAGGTTGTTTCTAGTCTTGGCTTTGTAAATAGCACTGTAGTCAATATAGGTGTACATATGACATTTTGAATTAAAATTTCTGTATATGTGGTCACGGGTCATGGTCCTCCCGTTGTTCATCGATTTGCTCGAGCAGGCCCAGTAACGTCTCCATCATGAGACTTGTTACTGTTTGGCATATCGAATACGTCACAGGTAGCTTGCCAGGCTCTGCCGTGCACACAAGATACTCTCAGTAGCTTGCCGGGCACTCCAAGAGGGGCGGAGGAATCGAACTTGGGTCGGCCATGTTGGCCGCTTGTAAGGCAAACGCCCTACCGCTGTGCTATCGCTCCAACCCTGTATTTATGGGACAGATGCCAAATGATGGAGTCACTGTGGGTTTTAAAATAGGCAATAGTCCCACCAACAGTGAATGCAGGTTACTTTTCCACCACATCTCTGACATCAGTTTATATTTGGTCGGGCATAAGGCAACATCTCATTGTCATTTTTTCATTTCCCTCTTAACTGTTGATTATGAACATTTTTTCATGAGCCATTTTGTCTTTTGTATGTCTTCTTTGAGGAAGTGTTATCCAGCAACCCTCACAAATTTGATAACTTTGTTTCTTGTTGAGTTTGTGAGTATTTCGTATATCGTGGATATACGTCCTTTATCAAACATATGTTGTGCAAATATTTTCTCCCATTCAGTAGGGAATATTTTTATTTTTGCTGTAGTTTTTGCAGTGCAGAAAATTTTGAGTTTGATGTAGTTTTATCTGCTTGTATTTGCTTTTGGTCTTTTTTTGCGAATATAATCAAATTATTAAAGATATATTTGAAATCAGTATCCTGGACAGTTCAGCCTATATTTTCCCTGACATATTCTATGGATTAAATTGTAATATCAAGGTCTTGTGTGGTATGTGATAGGGGCCCAATTTCTTCTTCTCAATCTCCTCTTCCTTTTCTCCTTCTTCTTCTTCCTTACTTCTTCTCCTCTTATTCTCTCCCTCCTCATTCTTATTCTCTCTCTCTCTCTCTCTCTCTCTCTCTCTCTCTCTCTCTCTCTTTCTCTGTCTCTCATTTCCATGTGGTTAATTAGTTTCCCCGATACCATTTGTTGCTGAAATTTTCCTTCCTCTACTTGATGCACCTTGTTTGTTGTACATTAACCATCCATATATTTGGGGATCTGATTTTATTCCATTGGTCTGAGTGCTTAACTTTATCCCAATACCTCATTGTTTTGATTACATAGCTTTACAGTATAGATTAAAGTCAGGCAATGTAATGGCTGCCATCATTTTTCTCAAAATTGCTTTCACTATTTGGGAGAATTTCTAATAGAATGTCAAATCTGTTCAATGCTTTGGGTAGAATGGTCATTTTAAGATAGTTAATTCTTTCAGTTCATGGAGTATTTTTCCATTTCCTGATAGCTTCTTCTGTTTCCTTTTAATAGTGACTTATATTTTGCAATGCACAAGTCCTTTACTTCCTTTAGTAAATTGATTCCTAGGTACCTGATGTTTTAGGATACAATTGTAGATTTTAGTCATTGTAGATTGTATGTATTTATTTTATGATTTGTGTGTGTGTGTGTGTGTGCGTGCTATAGTTGGTGGTCCTTGGGGAACCATGTGATACTTGGTTGATTGAACTCCAACATGCAAAACATGTACTCCAGCCCATTGAACTCTCCCTCTCTGGACCCTGGATATAGTTGTAAACAGAAACTGAAGGAATTTTAAAGGCTATTACAGACTCAGTATAGTTAACATGTGCTAACATAGTAAAGCATTTGCCTAGCACATTTAAGGCCCCGAGTTCAATTTCTGGAAACATGATTCCTCTAACATCAGCTCCTAAGCACTGCCAAGTATTGCCCTGGTAGTCCCAAGACATTAACGAGTCCACACATTGAACCATCTGCCCAAAATCACCAGAGGAGCATGGCCTGTGAGTGGCCCTTAGTCCTCTAAGCACCGCTGATGTAGTATCTATAAAAAAAAAAAAAGTACAGGTTTTAATTAAAGCTAGTGCAGTGCCTGAAATGCTACCTACCTACTCTGTCCTCAATTTTTCAGTTCCTGTAACAGGGTCTTGAGCATAGGGAGAGGGTAAGTCACCAACTGCCTTCCATGTTGTTCCTTAGGAAAATAGCCTCATATGCCACATTCTCACACATCTTGAACTCCTTCCTATAATGCCATGTCAGGACTCTCCTCCCAGCCAATCTGCATTTTCCTATTTCCCTTTCTGCTTCCTAAGCCTTGAAGGTTGGCTACCTCAGCTCAATTCTTCCAAAGAGGTTAAATGCATTCCTACTGCTGCAAAGGACAACTCAGCGATAATTCCCATTTCAGGATGATGAACAAAAGCTCATGTGAGTACAGATCTGCCGAAGATGAACAGCAAGGAAATACCAGGGGTCACGGGGCTGGGGAGCATGGTCACAGGCTTTGGACTCAGAGCGCCAAACTCTCCTGGTTCCCACATGACTCACTAATCCCATCCAGGCCCATACTTTGCTTCTTTGCTTCTATCTTTCCCATCCCTGGAAGATACCAGGCACTAGAACAGACATTGATCAGAGAACCACTGGGTTAAACCCAGGAGCTCCAGAGACAGGAAAAGTGTCTGCCAATTCCAGGTGAGCCCTGAAGATGTGTCCCAACTCCAGGTACAAATTGTGGGGCTGCTCACCACCCCATCCCCTAATTCTCTGACTCTGGATCCTTCTGTGTCCCTCTCAGTGTCTCAGTGCCTTTGCCATACCCAGCCCCCTCATACTGCCCCACATCTCTTTCTCCACTGCAAGGTCCTACATGATGTTGTGTAACTCCATGCCTCATATAGTTTGGGATTGGGGAGAGGGATCAGGTAAGGGTCTGGGCCATCCCTTGGTGATGCTGGGAGACTGTGCAAGGATCTCACTGGGATTTGCTGCATGCAAAACAAGTGCCTTCACCTCTGTATTATCTCTCTGGTCCCATCTTCCAGCTTTCCTGTTTCTCAGACATCAGAAGGACCACATCCACATCCCTCCTGGAAGATAGGAGCCACTTTTCTTGATCATTCATAGTTTTTTTTTCCTTCAAGCTGAAAATTGTCAGCGAGTAATTGTGAACATTGGCTTGGCTGCATGTACTGCTGCACTTGGAAATTACAGGAATCTTTTCCCACAGGCTTGGGGCCAGGTTATATTCTGAAACAGCATGGCTTGCTGCTTGGGGTGGTACCAGGGAAGGTCAGGTGAGGCTCACTGTGGGATGGAGGAAAAAAAGCTTCTCCATGAATCTCACTTTCTTCACTGTAAAATGAAAACTGTTCCTTCTCCCACTCCATTGCGGGGTTGTATGGTAAAACAAGGGAATACACAACTCAGCATGCAAGCCCTTGAATATTCATAACGGAGTAGGCTTCCCCTGGAATAGCTCAGTGGTAGAGCACCTGCCTTGCAAATGTGAGGCCGTAACTTCATTCCCCACCACTGCCTCACATGCTGAGTGAGATGGAGGTGGCACTCCAGCACAACAACTAACTGGGGGATCTCTGCAAGGAGGGGTGCTCTGCAACTAAATGGATGTGAGCACCAAAATGTAAGTGGAGACTCTTGGCCAGCATCACCACACTTTAAAACTGTGTCAGCACCATAGACAAATGTAAAATCTCCAGTCATCACCACCACCACTAGCAGTCACAGGGTAAGGAAGAAGAGTGGTGCCAATAATAGTACCCGAGTAAAATGAGTAATTACATGAGTAGCAAGTATCATTCTGCAAGTGCTTACTGGTACTCTGTACAGTGAGCCTGCTGTTCTCAACATCACAGTAAAGCTTGGCAATCTCGGCATGGACCGTTGTAGGTGCGAATGATCAGATTGGCATCATTTTTGTA